CCCATGAGCAGGTTTCGGGGTTATGTTGCCTTGCTCAAGGGCACTTCGGCAGTGCACAGGAGGTGAAACTGGTACCTCTCCAGCTACCAGTCCACACTCCATAATTTGTGGTCTGTGGGACTTGACCCAGCGACCCTCCAGTTCCCAAGCCAAGTCCCTACACACAGAGCTACTGCCGCCCATTAAGCAGCCTGATAAAAACCCTCTGTGTCTGTGTGGACTGAAGGAAAGCCACAGTATGAAAATGCAACCAAATAAAGCAGAGATGGAGACACAGATGGAGGTACAGACTCCCTGCACTGCTCTTCCTTTTATGGTAACGTAGCGTGGGGAGAGGGGCGGGGCTTCTCCCTAAACGTCACCAACGTGCTACGTACACCCCGGAAGCGGAGCAAGATGTAACATGTTTGACTGAAGTTGTCGGTGTTTGTGACCAAGAAGAGTGAAATTAAACCATATATTCACATTACCGAGCAACGCCGTGTACTTCGAAGCCCCCTGAAGATGAGTGTAAGTGAACGAGAAAAGGTAAGAGGGTAGCTATTATATTTAGCTTAGCATATTTCACCCACACACATACTCGGAAGTTTGTGTCATCCTGAGCCCTTGTTGCCTCCCTCTTTCTCTCCAACGCCAGGACCCTGCAGCCCTGAAGGAGGAGGGGAACACGCTCTTCAAGGCGGGAGACATTCAGGGTGCTGTCTGCTGTTACACCAAAGCATTAAAGCTGAGTGACACACAGGCAGAGAGTGCTGTTCTGCACCGCAACCGCTCTGCCTGCTACCTGAAACTGGAGGAGTACAGCAAGGCAGAGGCTGATGCATCCAAAGGTCGGGGGGGGATCACACTCAAGGATGTTGTGGAGAACCTAAATACACAGTTTAAGCCTACTTATGTCGGAATTGCAATCTATTCATGCAGATAGATTTACTGTGACCTGCTGAGGTTTGGATCTTTTGGGCTTTTAAATTACCACCAGGATCCTGACTGACATTTAGTTTAGGTTCAAGATTCAAGATTCAAGAAGCTTTATTTATCCCGAGGGAA